ATCGGGTTTCATTACATGGGTTATTATCATTGGTAGCAAATATTTATGCTATTCCATAAATTTATTTTTCTTCAAGATGATCAATAGTCGATTATTATTACTAGTTTATCATCGTTATTCGTTGATATATTCATTTTTCGTAGGAAAGATATTTGCTTTATTTTGTTTAAAATGTTGATTTTTTGTGAAAAATTTATCAAATAAAATGTTTATTAAGATATGAATTATTTTAAAAACTGATGACAAAATGTCAAAAATTAAATATTTATATGTGGATAAAGTTGAAAAAAAGTTTAGGGCACTTTTTGCTTGTCTCCATGCAAGCCTGTTTATAATCGATATTTGAATAGGGATTTCGATAGAGCTCAGAACGACCTAAAATCTATTGTATCAAAAATATCAACAATGAATCGGTTCAGTTTTTATGAAAGGAATCGATTTTGATCAGCGGAAAAATATCTCTTGCATTTTGTTATTTTATCCATTTTACCATTATCAAAAAGCAGAAAAGTTTCAAAAAATACTAATAAATGCATCATTGAATGTGCTAAATTTCGTTATATATATTTTAGAACAACTATTGGTTATATTAATTGAATATTTATTATTATAATTTTCGATTTTGATCCACACCGAAAGAAAGAGCATTAAAAAAACAACTGTATGTTTTCTATTTTACAACAACCAACCTTTATGGAATTTTTTAAGCCCTTACCTAACTATGAGAAAGCGTAGCTTCAAGATAAATGCATGAAGATATACTCAGAGAATAATCTATGAATAGTAAGCTTTTCAAATGACGAACAATAAAGTGCATGTGAATATTTTAATTTATTCTGTCAATCATACCGCTTAAACCAAAATGGTTACTATTTCAATTTGATTAAAGCCACTCAAATAATCACAAAGTTAATCAAGTTAAAATGGTTGATAGTTATAACTTAAGTTATAAATCGACATCTTTTAGCTTTCACACTGAACAACACTTCGTCCGCCAATGGTAGGATGATTTGAATTTTTCAAAATTATCACTAACGCTAGTGATAACATTAATAAAAAAACGAAATCGTTCAACATCTAAAATTATCTTTACTTGGTGAAATCATATTCATTAGTGAATACATCAAAGAAGATCAGTTTTATTGAAAGATTTAGTCATGGACAAAACTAACTACTAACTCCCTCATGGAATACTAATATTCTTTGTGATATTGAGCTCGTATTTTACGTGCATATATTTAGTAAGATGACTCTGGTTCATAATGAATTGCATCTACTTATTTGAACATTGTATTCGAAATTTCTTATTAGACAATGGAACTGTTTTGAAAGCTTTAGAACCGCACCAATGAACGACATTGAATTAGCGCTACGACATAAATTCATTATCTCAAAGGGTGTTAATTACTGAGATTCTTATTGTGTATTACATGCTTCGGGGATTATAAAGCAGATATCTGAACCTGTCTTTAGCGCTAGAAAAATAAAAAACAAGCACTTTTGGAGATCATATCTTCGCTAGGAATGTGCGGTTTCAGTAAACTGTTCAAAAGAAACTCATATTGCTGTTTTTTCACCGAATACGTTTTTCACAAGGAAAAAAATATATGCGAATCGATGGGTGAAGGATTAGTGCTTGTGATCAGAGTTTATTATCGTATGCTGCACTCAAAATATCAGCTCAATATCATAAAGAATAGTAACACTTCATGAAGATAACAGTAACTTTTGTCCAGGATAATAATACACTGTACGAAAAAGAACAAAATAAATATCCATATTGTATGTTATTTCGATATTGGCCATATTATTGTCTCATAATAAACTATTTTGTATAACCATTATCGAAAGGAATGTTTTTTTTCTTAGTAGTTATTTTGTAGTTGATCTTTTATTTATTTTTCGTGTTGATGAAGGAGAAAGAACTTTAAGTTCTCGGTATCGCATCTAAATAAGAAAGACAAGAAAAAATATTTCTCTCGTTCTAAAAAAAAAGTGTTACTAACTAGTTCAATATCAGAAGGTAATCGTGACATAAAATCAGCTAGTTCATTATTAGGAGTAAAATCTTTAGGTTTACCAAATCGTTTTGTAAATTCCCTAATAACAACTGCAATAATTAAATATCGAAGTGGAATGTAATAGAGTCCTATTCCGACAAGTATAAGTAGAATAATAAAGAGAATGGACAACCAAGGAACAGCAAAATTAAATAAACTAAAGATACAACAAAATATTTTATGAATCAATATAAGTAAAACATTTTTACTTTTTAATCCGCTCCAATGTTGAAGCAACACTATCTATATAACCTTGTATTTCCATAACTGTATCTTGAATACTCTGTATAACACCAGTAAATGATACCTTCTGTTCCTAAAAAACAAAAAAAAAATCTATATCAAAATTTTTATATTAATTTACTTTTGTATTAATATCATCATCTAGGATTTCTTCATCTAGAGGAGCTGGTTGTACAATATCCGATATGGTTTCATCATCTAAACTGGATTGAGATTTTCTAAGACGATTTCGACGATATTCTGCAATTACATTTCGTGCCAATAAAAATAAAAGTATACAAGGTAACATATACAATTCAAAATTCCAAATAAAAACAAGAGTAACCTAAAATTTTTATCGTTATAAATAATATTTTGATGGTTATTTTCTTACCATTAAAACCGAAAAACTCAACCGTGGATTTTCCCATCGAAAGCAATAATCAATAAATTTCACAACATCAACGGTACCTTTCAGCATATTTCGAATACGTGTTACATGTTGTTTTATAGCCTTAACATGAATAAACATCAAAATAACATAGCTATTAGTACAATGCCGCATCACAGAGAAATCGTTTTCTTTTCTATCTATTTTGAGACGCATTTCTTCATCATTCTTTTACTTTATTTTTACCATCAAGATTGAGTGACTACATTATTTGGCACGTATCCCGTGGATACTGTTTATCTCAGTATTATATGTAGGGAAGACATAGGACTGCTCAGTTTGCAACTACGCCGTAATCCATACCATAAGATAGAGGTAATTTTCCTAAGTTTGTCGCCGTTATCGAGTGGAGGAAGCACAGGTAGTGGAATATTTTGATTCTAGAGCTCGCTCAAGATTTTTCATAAGACTCTCATATAGAAGTTAAAAGTGAGAGCATATACGGTTTTGAATACCGCTCGAACGAAGTACAGTTAGAAACGCTCATTTGAAGAAACATACAAAAGCTTATGTTCATCTAAATGCGACTTTAGAAAGAAGAGATACTGATTTGCTTTACCAAAAAAGTTTAATGACGAAGCAGAAATGTTTCACAAAAAAAAGGTATGTGCTTGAGCCTACCATAACCTACCTACAGTGGATGGGTCTAGAGTAGGCTTCCACTTTCCTAAGCCTTGTGATTCCGTCACGTATGTTTGTTGCGTACGCTTTGGTAATAAATAAAATGTGGACTGGCATTATAGCAATACATCGGTTGTCAGAAGAAAATGAAAATTAAACAGCAATAGAAAATTTTTACAATAAATACAGTATCTAAGCCTTTAACTCTTCAATACAAGCTGTGCTTATATCAATATTCCTCTTAGATCATGTTTCACAAAAGAAGAATTCATTTTATCAACTGTACATACAATAGGACTAAATTTTTCAGTGATTTGATAATATTCCTGTTGTCTTGGATTGAATGTTCGAATTACTGCTTTCAGCTAAAATTACAAAACAAAACAACAATAAAATAAATAAAATTTTCTTTTAGAAAAAAATTTTTACATTTGTATAAATAAATGTTGCTTCTATTTCAATAGCACCTTTAACGAGTGACATACATTTTCGATCTTTTAATGCTATCCATTTTTTTTCACCATTTTTTATCTTAAAAAAGAAAAACTCATTTAATCAAAAATTAACAAAAAAAAAAAACAACATTGATAATTTTCCCTACAGTTAATAATGGTATGACAACTTTTCCAACAAAATCATTATTTTTATTTGTATCTTCATCGTAAATTGTCAATTGAAGTATAGAATGAATATCTTGTACAGGTATAACAAATGATTTATTCCAAACAGGATCAAGTGTTTTATAAATTGTATGTGTACGTAAACGACTTGAATCAAGTTCAACAACACAAAATGGATCTGATTTACCACTTATATCTTTGGCACTAAGATCACGTGCTTGATAAACTAATATTTTTTTTGTTTTATAATCAAAGGTTCAAAATAATACAAATAAAGAAAAAATAATGTTTACTTTTGATTTCAAGTTTGCCAACATCAAATATTGGAACTATTGATCGAAGTGTATTAAAAAAACTCTATAAAATAAATAAAAATTAATTTTTTCAATGTAAATTGAATTTTTTTTTGTTTACGAACATAATGTTTAATATCTTCATCAGATAATTTTGATGGAATAAAATCCAGAGCTACATTAGCTGAACTTTCACCATCATTGGTTGCTTCTTGTAATGGTGTTGTTCCTGTTATTGTTACAAATAAATCAATTATACCAGCACCATCTTCAAGATCAACTGGCATTAAATGTGTTCGTTCTTCATCTAAATGAGCCAGATTACAAAGTCCTCTAAAAAGAAAATGGAATAAATATGAATTAAAAATATTTTCTTTTATTTATTTACCGGCCTATGAGATCTTCTGTACCACTAGTATCATCAAAAACAGCTAATTCTAATGGTGGAAGCTCACTAAGAGTTGTATCATACATAAATGATTGATACCATTCAGGTTTAAGAGTAGATTTTATTGTCTAAACAATAATTAATTAAATATATAGAAAAATACAATTTTCAAGAAATAAATTTAATAACAACGAAGCATGTTGAATTCTGATTTGACTGAAAATCTATATTTACCATTTTTACGATACCAAAAAAGAAATAACTGATCTGATCAGTCTCAACATTCCTAAGCTCTAATAGATAATTGAAAAATTTTTAGATAAGATATTTGTTTACTTTTGATCTGGTAGAAAATATTTTTGACGAATTATAGAAAACAGGAGTTAAAACCAAAATCTTGTTTCAATTTTGTTCATGAGTTTCTTTTAACATAAAACGGTTGTCAATTTTCTACAAATAAGTATTTAGGAAATAAATAAAGATTTCAATTCGTAATTTCGAATCGCAATAGTTAAAATACAAAAGTTTTTCGTCCGAACTAATTTTTTGGACTTTTCAAAAATTATGTCATTACGATCGAACAAATTCTAAGACAAAACTTCTAAGCTCAAATGCGAAAAAAAAGCATTCTCATTCATAGCGTCTGACTTGTTGAATATAATTTCCAAAGTAACAAAAAAAACAACTGATGAGGTCCTCCAATGATAACGATATGATAAAAACAATCAATATAACTACTCCGTAAATTTTATACGAAATATAAAAGTTAGAGTATCAGAATTTAACGAGAGAACCATCCTGAGTCACACTCGCCATTGGCGCTCATCGTGATTCGATAGGTCGATCTCTGTCAGACTAGCAAAAACATAAAAGAGTTCGTCTCCATCGGTCTTGGTCGCCAAATGATGATCGGTTCAGTGGGTTTCCTATCTAAAGTTTTGCCTAAAGATAGGTCTAATGACTCTTAGAGTATCCTAAAAGTTGCAATTGAAAAGAATATTTCTTCGTCAAGATATTGAATTCTCAAGAATAGCTCTTGGACACAGATATGTCACAAAAAATCGAGTTCACTTGAAAATTCAATCATTCGACGAAGGACCATTTTTTTTTTCAGCTAAAAATTTCAGAATATTATAAGAGTCATGATCTCTATCTATATACAAAATGTTGGATCACAACTTCATTAGTCGGTCATTCAGGAAGTACCTAACAGTGGGTCGAAAATCCAGTAAACTGATCCCTTATGAACTCAAATCTTTTTTTTTCTGATTTTCTTTTGGCTTTACTTTGTTTTTTTTTATGTATCTTACTTGTGTTCGATATTTTTTATTGTTTCCAAATTTAAGTTTAATATAAGGACTACAGAGTTTATTAACACCAGATAACTTTAAATTTCGTCCTTGAATTATAAAAACATCAATTGTACGTCGAGGTAATATAACTTCATTATTTGATCCTATGCGACCACCGATTATTGATCTCATTTGTGATTGTTTTGCCAATGTACGAAGAACCTTAATTTAAATATAAAAACAAATCTTCATAAAATTTATATATATATATATACAGGGGTCGCAGCGGCATGTGTTCCAAAATCAGGAAAGCAGACAGGAAATTTTTTTTAAAAAATCAGGAATTTTTATAAAAATCAGGATTATAAACTTTATTCTAATATTGCTTTTTTGGAGGTCAAATTTGCGTCAAAGTGGGTGCCAAAATCATGACTTGTTACAATTAAAATGTAGGTTGCTGCAGTAAACACTGAACATGAAAAACGCAGGTAATGCACAGACGTTTTTTCAAATTCAGGAACGTATATCTCGACAACCAATGAAGCTAGAGAGTTGAAATTTTTCCCAAATATGTATTCGACGAAATTCTACTTCTCATAAAAATTTCAATTTTTTATCTTTATGCAATTGTGTTTTACACAAAAAATATTGGTCGGTAACGCACAGACAAAAAAGTCCCTCGTTTTTTGAGTGCATGTAAGAGAAGTGAAAACACGACAAGATACTCTGAGTTAATGAATTAGGAGAGAAATGGTTTTGTAGCTAACAGTCAGGGCTATCTTTTGGTTAAAAGAAAACGTCGATGCGTTGAAAAATGAGCGAGTTATAGACAAAATACCAAGTAACGCACAGACACTTTTCTGCGAAAGACAAAGTTTTAGCCGATTGTATTGGTCTGGAACATCAAAATAATGATGTTGATTCATATTTTGACTGTCACGAGTGTTGTTATATTAGAAATGTTTTCAAATTTGTTTAAGCCAAAAGAGTGCTCGAATTATTGAAGCAGAAAAAAGAGCTCTTTGGGGGCATTTTCCTATGAAAACTGTAGATTTTGGATGGCAAGTATAATTTCTTATCTAGATGTTGAACGGAAAACGATGTAGATCGACGCAGGATGTATGAAAACCTAAGTAAAAACGTTGAATGAGTAAGATCACTTGTTTTGCATCGGAGAATTTGGGTCGTCAACTTTAGCCACACTGGTTGACCGTTAGCCGTTTTTGCTGTGAAGCTGGTTAAAACAGAATGAATTATGCAGGAACTTATTGTTTTATTCAGATACACACACTTTTCGTCCTGTACTATTTATTTCTTTTCGTTCTCTTTCATTGCCATGCTTTTATTCTAATTTGTTATTCTCTCTCCATATATAAAATAAACAATCATGTTATAGCGATTCAATTTTGAGCAAATGTGGAAATCTCGGATTCAAATCCGAGTGTTATGTGTACTTCAAAAAGTAAAAGTAATTGACGACAGATTGATTTTGATCAAACTGTCTAAAAAAAAATCATCCTTGAGCGCACTAAGAAACTGCCCCTTCAGTCCTGCCGATGCCCTCTTTTTGTCCCGTAGGACGCGGCGAGGAGTTAGTTCCGAAGCCTTTATTTATTTGCATCAATAAAAACTTGTTTATTGTAATTAATTATTTTGATGAGTTTATGGAACCTTCCTTCATTTTATAAACTCATATTCATTATATCATGTTTAGGTATAAATTGTTGACGATTATTTAGAAAGGGTAAGAGAGGATCATAATGATTGCCAGTGAACTGAATTCATAAACTCAATTTGTTCATTTCTGATTTGTTTCCAATATATTTAAGATGGCCATCTGTGGTTCCTTTATCGAACTGATCAATCAATTTTTTCTTAATCTTTTATATACCGTTTTGTAGCCCGTGAAATTCTCTATCGAATGGTATATAATAGTTGAGCTTTTGTTTTGATTATGAGAGAAAAAGTTTTTATATGAAAGCCGGGATAGGTCAATGTTCGCATAGAAAAGCACAAGAATTAATGACATTTTTTGCGATAACTCGGCAATTTCTAGACAGATCACTCTTATCTTCGAACTCGACCAAGACATTGATGAGACGATTCTATGACAAAAGTTTCTTGACAATCAGTTAATGTTCTCAAGGGTTATCGTAGAAACGGGCGGACGGACGGACAGACAAACTGACCAATTCTATAGTGTACTCACTTTTTGAGTACACAAAAAACAGAAAAAATGAATGATTAAAGTGAACATTAATTTATATATTGTATCTTTTTTTGTTGAAGATATTCCATAATATTTTTTTTATGCATTTGGATAATAAACTAATTAAAATAAAAATACAACACGCCATGATCAAATAAATATGTCCCTATCGGGATGGATCATGAAAAATCAGGAGAAAATCAGGATTTTCAGTCAAAAACAGGAAAAACAGGACATTTTTAAAAAATCAGGAAAAAAACAGGAAAGTAGTACGGCTGCGAGGCCTGTATATATATTTTATTCTTACTTCATCACGAAATTCAATTGATTTTGGTATCATTGTAATACTAATTTTAATTGTACCAGTTTTTCCATCATTTCTTCGTTCATCTTGTAATTCAAGTGTTGCAGAATATAATTTATGTAATGGTACTTTATATAAATCAATTTTTGTTGTACCCATTGGATCATCACGTCCAATACGATCATGATCAAATATATTAAAATAAAGTGGAATATTTAAATCATGTACAAAAAATATAAATTTTTCATTCCATACAGGATTTAAATTTTTTGATACAGTATTTGTTATATATTTTTCTTTATTACCATATAAAACTTTAACATATGGATCACTTGAACCATTAATATCTTTAACAGCTAAATCTTTTGCTCTTTCAATACAAATTTCAGCCCAATAAACTTGTTCAATATTAATATTATCATTATTATTATTGGTGGATGATGTATTTGTTAAAATTGATGTAAGTGCTGGTGGTATAGTCATAACAGTACGTGCATGTTGAGTTAATTGTTCTTTAAATTTATTGAAACTCAACCGACTTGAACTTAATTTTCGATTAGATCCAGTTAGTTGTGTTTCATTTTGTTGTCCTTCAATGTCAGGTACTACATTTGAAGAGCTATTTAATATTGTCTCTTTTTCAGCATCATTTTGGATAGTTGTACTAACAATAGGAGTTAATGGTGAAGATGAATCAATTTCATTTTTTATTGAATCTTGATTTTCTTCATTTGTAGATGATGGTGTTGCCTCCTAGAAAAAAAAAAGTATTTTATTTATTGACATAAAAACTCATAATTAATTGATTACAAGCACAAATATCTTATGGTGTATATTACAGGAGTTTATTCAAAAAGAAAATAAAAATGTTATAATTGACAAGCATGAGTCTTTTTTCTTATGTTCCATCGTTTTTTTTTTATATCTCGAGAAACATAAACTTTTAGATGAGACCTGTGACACATACACTGAAAATTCTAGAGATGACTTGTTACAACAAAAAAAAACAGTCTATCTTTATCAACTATCATACGAAACATTAAAAAAAACAGCAAATAAAAGGAATAGAAACTCATGGTCATATTCTTGAGCTTTTACTCATTTAACTTTTGTTTACTTGATGGCCTAGTGTCATTTTTTTTTTATTTATCAGAAAATGAAAACGTCTCGATTGATACGGTTTACAAATAATATTCATCAATCTACAATATCTTTCAATTAATATTCATAAGAATTATTCGAAAATACTACATGAATATATGCAAGACTACTAGGATCGTGTGTGATTCTCTTTTGCAAAAAACAACTATACAATATTTGAAATAAATTCCATACTCACTTCATTAGTTTCTTTTAAAATAGCATCCATTTACCAGGTCTCAATCTATATGTGTTGTGCACCAACATCCAACAAAATACATTAATAAATATGTGAAAGAAAAATCGATCAAGCGAATCGACAGGTGAAGAGACTTCATACTATCGTTTGTTAATATGAAAAAGAAGAACGAAAAAATAGTTTGATAAATAAAATGATTTGTAATCGGTTAGTTGGTTGGTATCAAGTATGTTTCACATGAATGTATAAAACACGAATGACTGGCATAAACAGAAAGGATTGAACCTTATCTAGAAATATTCAACCTTCTCATCTCCGTTTAGAAACTTTGAACATGCTATGACTATTGATATGAATGTTCTCTAGAAAAAACTTTCAAAGTGCTGATCTTCGTCTCGAATATGTTTGTTGTTTACATTTCAAGCAATCATCCAAAAACAATTTTATTTCACATATTGGCAATATTCATTCGATGAAACATGTCTTAAGAATTCGGTTAATTAATAATTGACTGTGATATATAAAAAAAAAATGACTTTCATTTAGAAATTTAATAGGCATATATAATGAAAAGATCCAGTATTGCGTAGAATTCCAAATGACTTACTGGAATTGAAATAAAAGATGGTAATAATGAGAAGTTATTATGATCATTTCATATGAATGGTATGGGTCAACGATATTTATCAGGTTTAATAATATGTAATTTAACTTGATTGAGTAAACATAAACGATGTAAAAAAAATTAAACTGTCCATGAAAAAAAAGAAAAACTAGGAATACAAATGCATGTCAACGCGTTCTTTTTCTTCACGCATATTTTAACTAGAACATGTGTATGTTTTGTATAACGCATCATGATGTCTAAATATCTAGAGAAATGCTGCTTTTTTTTCAGTGAGAGTGCAAAAAGAATAATAGTTACGAGATGTTGAATAGATTTGAACTAAGGCCATTTGTTTTGACTAATGACGATACATAAAGAATAGAAGATGAAATTTGAATTTATGTCGTTTTGAGAGATTCTGTCGCTTGATTATGAAAAATAAATGGTTATATATTCATTTAAGTAATTTTCCCATATTTTTTCATATTTCTCTTCGATATTTTCATGCTATCAGGCAGTTTTAAGTATATAGATATCAGTTCTATATGTAATATTTACAATTAACAATACTGTCGTTCAAATTTTGATTTAACTAATCAGTTAGGGAGATCTAATTAACAAATCATACAGCCTTATCATCCTTTCTCTTTTGTATATTTTTTTTCTTAAAACAAACGTTATAGTTTTTTTTTTATTTTGTAAAATATTAGATGATTTATCTGTTGTTATCTTTATAAAGATGAAGATTTTTTTATTTATCTTAGATTTTCTCTGTCTTTATCCTTTATATTTTAAAAGTGCCATTAAAATGATTTACTTTTTTCTAGATTTGAAAAAAGTCTAACACAACAACTTGAAAACTCAGAAATTTTCACTCTTTGTTCCATAGAATCAAATGACGAAGGTTAGCTTTTTTTAGCTACTCTTTATATAAAGTATAACTAGATTCTGTATTTGTCGTACACTTGATTTGGTTGAAACTCGATTCAGTTGGAAAACAAAAAACGAAGCAAAACCATGTATATTCATTGGAAGAAGAATTCCCCTAACAAGGAAATTCTTCTGTATCGAAGTAATTATTATGAGGTTTGATTTGTAAGCATGGATTAAGTCACTCGTGCAATTATAATCGTCACTGATAATTAAACAAAAGTTATTTTTTTTGTTATTGAGATTTTTCAACATAATACAGACAGCTAACCTTACGATGAAGTGAAAAAGTGATTAGTGAACTGTTAGCCGTAGAGTGAATAGAGATGTGCGGAGTCAAGCCTTTTAAAATCCGACTCAGACTTCATTCTGAAAGGTTTTTGTGAAACACAATCTCAAAGAAGTGTTGAATTATAGAGAGTGGATATTCGAACTTTTTCTCTCCTTAGACAGATGTGGCACATTTCTTAGTCACAACTCATCATAAGAAAAAAAATGAAATAAGATTTTCGAAATCTCTATAGTGTACACTAACTTTCACTCCCAAAACTATTCTTTTACTGACACAGATGGAGTCGGGTTTCGAAGTTGTATGCAGAGCTTTAATGGTTAACGATCTGGTTAATCATGAAACGAGCTGCTATCACGAAAATAACCGTCGATCTTCGTCATTTTTTCGCATGATATGAAAAAATAACAAGAAAGAGTCATTAAGAAAAAAAACTGATGCGTCTTTTGACTAGATTATTTGCATGAAAACATTAAAACAACACTTAATTAAAATGAATAGTATGATGCAAGCAAAGTAGAGCTTTTTTTATTTTGTAAGAATAATAAAAAAAAACTTCATTCAAGTTTGTTTCTTTTTCAAATAAGACTAAAGTCAAATACAAAATGAACTGGTTTATGCATGAATGTTGTTTCCTGCAGAATTTCTAGTTACATTTATTTTGCCAGTAGGTAGAACTAAAACTCGCACAGATGTTGAGAAACAATTGTTTACGGTTTCATAGTGCTATCTATGTAGTTAATTCAACTGTACATAATCAATACGAACAGCATGAAATAATAGACGTTGCTCGTTTAAAGTGTCCTGCAGCGTTTCCAATGGCAAATGTATATAACGAAATCGAAAGGTATATAACATCTACTGCTTTAGAAATACACACCACTGTAGACTTTGCACAGGAAACTAATACTTTCGTTTTACTACATGGAAAACTATTTTGAATTTCAAAAATCATTCTTTTAACTATGCATAAAACGCAATCTATCAGATAAGAAACTCTATTTGTTTATTGCAATGATATGAACAGTGTTTTAGTTTTTATTTCTTTACAGTCTGTGAAACTTGTTTTTGTACGCCTTGTTAATGAAAACTAAATGTATACAATACACTTTGCCCCAATAAACAGACTGTACATGTACATCTTCTTTTAACTTTCTAATAGAAGAACTGATCACGACAACGTTCACAGTCATGAAAATTGTTTTTCAGTCATAAGAACAATCTTGAATTTTCTCTCAATAACGATCACGCAGTTCATTAGCGAAAGCTCGTACCGGAGCGACACGATTATTCCAACGTCGATAACAAATACACAATAATCTTTTTGCTTGTCTTCGAATTTCACTTGATGTTATCATATAAATGTAAAAATCAGTGCAATATTGAATATAAAATAAACAAATAGCTATTAAACGAAAAAATTGAACAATATTTTCTTGATCTTCACTTCGAATAACTTTGATATTTTAAATAAAAAAAATTGTTTTTGATACAATGCACCATTAATTCAAATATAAATTAATCTTTTAACAGAACATTAAAAGAATTGCTTTATTTAATATTTAAGTATACATATCAAAAACAAAGAAGATAGTTGTTTGATTAAAAGGTTTTTTTATCAATGAGAAACAATGATGATAATAAATAGGAAATTTTTTTGATAAAGACATGAAAAATGTTTCGTGGGTGTGGGTAGACGTTAGAAGCGTGCATCGGATTTCGGAATCCTATTTCGATTGCAACAAAATCACAGTCAGTGACAGATTTTTTTTTCGAAGTTAAAACTACAGTTGATGTAAACTATAGAAATCCCTATTTTGTTTTTTTCTTATGCAGCGTTTATCTTTGAAAATTGAAACGTCCAGTCAACAACAATTCTCAATCCAATAGCCGAATAACATGAAATAGAAAAAAATCAAGGAAAACATCTAAACTAGACTAACTTTCACAAATGATTATTCGGAAAAAGAAGATCATCAGTATTTAATATTTCAATCTTTATCATTAAATGTATTTTTATCATCTTCACGCGATTTTAAGTGAGACAAAATCGCTATATACCTAAGTTGTCTCTAATTTGCGATATAAAGCTGCTCGTGCAATCTCTATGAGATTAAAATGTGGAAGAGGATGTGGATGCTCTGTTATTCTATCTATATAGGGAAACATTTCTTCAAAGTCATTTTACTTAATCATGTATAAATGCAATTAGGGGTGGTCCTGTAGTATTATTTTAGAAAATAAAGACAAAGTAAAGCAATAAAGGATACTTTTAGAAGAGAAAATGTGACTGGAAGGGGTCTAGGATCGCATAATTTGTATTAAGAGAGATTTTTATCATTCAAAAACTAGAGAAATAAAAACTTTATTTTTAGTTTTTTAGTGTATTAACAAGCAATGAAGTCTTCTTATACTATTCTTGATGCCATTTAAGACTCACTGTTTAATGAGGCATCTTTTTGAGACGTTTTAGTTCAACTTCAATCTATGTAGCACTTCGCAAAACATAGTCTATATTGCTTTGACTAAATGGAGGTTTCTAAGGAATAAAATGAATTTGTATGTTCAGTCCTATATGTTTTATTGCTAGTGTGTTATCAGGTGTAGACATATATTTGTAAGAGTTCAGAGTAGGTATTTGAAACGAGTTTTTTTCATACTAAGAGTTCAGCCTATTCCATGCTTTCTCTGTCTGACTCTTGTTCAATCAGATTGTTCGACACTGTGAGTCCTGTATGTTTATTGGGCCTAGGTGTTGTTATGACCTGTGAATGTTGGTGCTGAGTATGTCGCTAGTGTGTATGGCGGCACGGCTGTCTTTATCTATTCGAGTATGAATGTGGCTGTGGACTGAATGCGACAGTGCAGTCGTTGTCGCTATGGATCGTTCTAGGTATGGGGCAGTGTTACAACTGGACGATTTTTTTTTCTTACGGGTATCGGTCTAAACCGGTCAGACCAGACTTGCTGATAGGCCATCATCAGCCATTGTCTATTTTTCTCACCTTGCAAGAGCCAAATCAACATCTCGATTAGTTATACCTACCTCTAACTCGCTACGGAAACAATCTCAGGCTTCTGTTCACTAGTATAGTGCTTTGGTGAAACGTGATTATTAATGGATATTGAAGTAGGTGACGAGAAAATGCATTCCAAGTCATCCAGCTTTCTTCAAAGATCGTGAAAAATATAACTATGCTTTTTGAGCCAAAGGAAAAACTGTGGCAAAGATTTTCATATGTCTAAAACGATCTAGTAGATTTTGTCGCACGTTGGCTTTTGGTTTCATTATCGTCTATCATTAAGTTGATGAATCTCTCTAACGCAAAAAAGGGAAAATTTCGTACTTCATTGTACTCTGATGATCAGCTAAGATTATCCTCTGTAACTTCTTAGCTATGTCAAGGCTAGTACTAACATGTGTCGAAAGTATATTAGTTTGAGCTCATTTTATAGTATAAGTCTGTCAGACAATAAAGCCCAAATATTTCGTCCTATTTTACTGATACTTAAATCCTAAAGTAATTACAATGAACTCTTTGGGCTTTAGTGTCAGACAGACTTATATAAAATGAACTCAAACTAAAAGGTTCTTGGTACACTTTGATACTAGAAGTGAAATAGCTAAGAAGCTCTAGAGGATAGTTTCGAAATACACTTGGAGTACGGTGATGTACAGGTAACCTATGAAGTATTCGCTGTTTCTTCCTTAGATTCCTATAATGATTAAAATAGTTCAATTATGCTTAATATTTTCATCGTATTGGGATTGTATTGAAAGCTTTTTCTTCAGCATCTACTTCTATAGGTTTTCTGTCTTTTGTCAACTATTGATGGATACAAAATTTCATAACACTACAAATTCTATATCAACTTTGTATGCTAATAAAATATTCGTCAGGCATTGCAACTCTCACTCAACTGTGCATGTACTCTGTCTTTTCTCTCTCGATAGGCTTACTTTATTATCTCGTTTGTCTTTGCGCAAGATATCGTATAAATAATACAAAATACAACATAAATATATATTAAATTACAATAACAAGCAGCGATTCTATTTTATTTCAATAATATAACTTGATATAGAAGTGACTTGAAAAAAGAAATTAGGAGTATTTTGATAACTAGTCACTAAATAGAAATATTCTAATACCTATCTCTTCACAGAAATAGCCATTGATCTCAGTTAAACTAATTTCATATACAAAAACAAACGCCTCTATGATCAATTTTTTTTGGAAAAAAAACATACAAAAACTCGAAAAATATACCTCGATTGGTACAGAGGAAGTTGCGTCCACCAACCGTTATATCGATCGATAAGGAGTCCTCAATCGCAGGAAACCGGCCATTTACCATTTCCGGTTGCAAAAATGCTATGAGCTACATATCGATGTGTGCGAATGTCAATGTTTGGGATAGACATCAACACTTAAGCCCAATAAACACACTGAACTCATAGTGTCGAACAATCTGATTGGACAAGAGTCAGACAGAGAAAGCATGGAATAGGCTGAACTCTTAGTATGAAAAAAACTCGTTTCAAATACCTACTCTCAACTCTTACAAATATGTGTCTACACCTGATAATACACTAGCAAGAAAACATATAGGACTGAACATACAAATTCATTTTATTCCTTAGAATCCTCCATTTAGTCAAAGCAATATAGACTATGTTTTGCGAAGTGCTACATAGATTGAAGTTGAACTAAAACGTCTCAAAAAAGATGCCTCATTAAACAGTGAGTCTTAAATGGCATCAAGAATAGCATAATAAGGCTTCATTGCTTGTTAATACACTATAAAAAGCTAAAAATAAGGTTTTTATTTCTCTAGTTTTTGAATGATAAAAATCTCTCTTAATACAAATTATGCAATCCTAGACCCCTTCCAGTCACATTTTCTCTTCTAAAAGTATCCTTTGTTATAGAGAACAGTAAAGATGAAGGATCACCCAAAATGTAATTAAGAAGTAGTTAATATATTATTACGAGACGTTATTTCGGTAAGGTCTGTAATCATATACTAACCATGTCTGCCACCGTCTGTGATGAAGAAGAGACGTTTCCAAAGTATCTGTTAGGTCTCGAATGAGTTGTCACTAAAAAATCTCTGAAGTCGGTGGCGGTGGGCGGACGGTTCCATTGTATGCGCATTCAGGTTGAGATCTGTAGTCTGTATCGACCTTCTTAGTGAGGGCTGCGCAAATACGAGTACAACTTGTACTACCTTTTTTCTACTACAATTGTAGCATTCATGTACTTTATGTACTATACTATGTACTACGTATAATACATAGTATAGTACATAAAGTACATGAATTCTAGAATTCTAGGTTTTTCGGGGGTACATGGGGGTCTATGTATAATACATAATACATAGTACATAAAGTACATGAATTCTAGAATTCTAGGTTTTTGGGGGATACATAGTGGGTCCTTGTATAATACATAGTACATAATGCATAGTATATAATACATAGTACATGAGGAGTGTCACATGTCCCGAATTTTGGAGATCTCTTGTAGGCATTGCGCATCCCCAGCGAGACACGCGGCACCCACACTCAGGAGATGTGGTCACTCAGTATTGGAGATGTATTATCTCCCTTAGAGATGCAGATCTCCGACACCAACACCCACACCACCATCACCACCACCACCCTGCGTATCGCCCAAAAACCTAGAATTTCAGAATTCATGTACTTTATGTACTATGTACTATGTACTATGTACTATG